AATACCATGAACGTCACGTGCGCTTCAGTATGTGTGCAGTAAACGAAACCGCGCATCTGCGCCATTCATTCACACTGAGACACTATTATACGATTTCATATTTAAATAGTATTTTTGCAGCTTAATATTCACAGACACTAGTCCACATCACGTTTTGATTTAAGTGTACTGACCTACGTTTGATTTATCCATCCAGAATTTGGCAAATTCCATGACATTCCGTGTTGTAAATTCCATTTTTATGACAAATTCACTAGCAATTTCTGAGTTAAAATTGTTTTAAACTATTTTTTTTTTTTTCAAAGTACCATAGCGTTACCATTTCTGTACAGTGCTGTTGCATTACTTTAGTAAAGGTTGCAACGTAAATGTGATCATGTTAATACAACAACAATGACGTTTAAGTAGCTTATACAACAAATCAATTTTCCTGGTTCCAGTATCATTAATTATGTGAGCGCTGTCATTAAAACATTGAGACAACATTCCCGTAACACAACATTGATTAGGCCGCACCATAAACCGATTACTGAAAGACAATCCTGTGGTGGGAAACTGCACACTTCACCACTAGATGAAAGATATTATGTAGACACGTCCACTGCCAACAAAACAATTAGTCTCGAGTCTGGACAGCAGCTTGAGAGACAATTTCATCATGATACACGGCTGACTTAGACGATCAATGGTTGTGCTTGTGTCTCCGACAGCAGCCACTTTACACAAGGCATCAAATACAAACACTTCTAAAATGATCTGGTGCAGAAACTGACTTTTAGGATTGTTTTACACAAACCTTATCAGCTCATCGACTGCTTTATCGATTGCTTTTGTTGCATTTCATTTTATTTTTTGAGGTAATGAAATGTTAGAACATGCATTGTTTGCGTGATGAAAAGTTGCACGTTTCTCTGCTTGTTTTGGTGGGCTTGGCTGTATTAATGCAGCAGTTAAAAATCACATCATGAGCTGGAACAACTCAACAGCATTAGTGGCTAACTGATGGATATATTTCTTGCTAATGATCTCTGCCAGACTATCAGACCACCGTGCCCAAGGCTTGGGAAACATATGCACTCGATGAAGGCATTCATACATATTTAATCAAATCCCTCTAAACTTAGAGCTGACTGCACAGCTTGAATTACCGATATTCAGCTGAAATCGAAAGTCTAGCACAAGCAAGGACATGACAAATCCATCATATCTACAGACCCAAAAGCAGATGCTTTGGATCTCGACGACCGTGTCGTCCTGAACCCTGGTGTTTATAAAAGCAGACCTTCTTCAGCTCAGCGGCTTCTGCTATGACGGATAAGATGAAGTTTTAGATATGTTGCACAGACACTTGATCAGTGCAAAAGGACAGATTCTTTTTAGAGCAACAGACCCTCCACTTTCATTACTCAAATCAATGGGCCATATCATTGAAATGCAATCCTTTTTCTCCAGGCTTTGACAGCCATTTGCTGGCGGACTAAGACGTTTTCTAGCACAAGTTCCTTCAACAGAGAAGAAACGTAAAGGTCACGTGCACATACTTTCTAATTGCCTAGAAGGTTCACATTTTTGGTGATATTTAAAGAAAGTGGAAAGTGGTATTTTCAGAAGTAGCGTTAAAATTGATCGAAATTGAGTTTGTCTGTCGTTTCAATTAAACAACAATCAGGATTAACCTCAAAACTTAGAATATCCACTAGAATAGAATACTTACACTATAGGGCTTTTATTGTTTTGTTTTCTTTATTTGATGACTGGACATGACTAGGGATGCACTGACATTATTTTTTATTCATTATCATAATTTTTGTTATATATGGTATCAGTGTCCAAAATTAGATCGTTATAAATATTCAATATATAAATTTGATTTATATATAATATTGTATTTCACACACACACACACACACACACACACACACACACACACAAAATAGATTGGGCTGTTCATAATATGGCCAAATATGTTAGTGTTATATAATAATATACTTGGCCATAATATTTATTATATATTATTATATAATGTTATAGATTATAGAATATAAAAATATATACTGATATACTGCTATGGCCAATTACCTACAGCCATAAAATATTTAAAACAATATTTTAAAAACTATATATAGGCTATATATATATATATATATATAATGTATGTATGCATGCATGTATATATATTTATATATATAAAATATTTTATTTAATTAATTATTTATTTATTTTAATTATTGCTATGGCCAATTATCTACAGCCAGACCATAAAATATTTAAAAACAACTATACATTTTTAAAGAAATTATTGCTATGGCCAATTCTCTACAGCAAATCTATTTTGTCTAAATGTATTAAAAATAAAGTCAATAAAATAAATTTAGACATCACAACATTAGAATGTATATTTATGAAAACTGTATATTAATTTTGAGATTACTTAAACACTAAAAATGTTTAAACTCAAAATAAAAACTTAAAAACAAAATTACACAATAAGACATCCAGTATCATTATACTGATTAATTGGGGAAAAAAGGCTAAAAATGATTTGATCCTGACATATCGTGCATCACTATAAATGACCAACGGGACAATCAAACAGCTTTAAAAAGCGATCACCCCAGTCAAAAGCGGTTAAAATGTCTAAACCCTGTCCATTCAGTGGACATCTCTCCACCTTTACTCACAGTTGTGAAGTTCTCCGGCCCGCACTCTTTTCCACGATACTTGCAGTCCAGCAACATTTCTTCAATGCTGTGGCTGGTCCTCTGTACAAACTCCAGCATGTTGAAGGTCTTGCTGGGGAAGAACTTGCTGTTGTCCGGCGGCTGTCCCAGGGCGGCCATGAAGTCATCGAAGTCACTTTGCTCCACACCGAGCAACCCCGCCATCCAGAAGAGATCGTTGCGGATCATTTTGGAGCGTCTGAAGCTGTTGTAGTTGCAGAGGGTGATGGCCGGAAAGTACATGACGGGACTGTCCATTTCGTCCAGGATGGTGACGTGAGGATAGCTGAGGAAGTCCATCACGGCTCCGGCCACCTGGTAGAGGAAGATGGACAGCGAGGAGAGGAACGCTGCTGCCCAGAGCAGACGTCTGATGGTCACTCCTCCGGGCAGGAAGATGTGGCTCAGGCCATGAAGGGTGCAGTTGGCTCCGAAAACAGTGATGTCTGACGGCCGGGGCTGCTCTTCGTCTTCGGCGGAACCCATCGCGATGGACTGAGCGGTGAGCTAGAGATCTAAATCTAACCTCTACGAAGTCTGGATTGTTCGGAAGTGAGGGTGGTGCGGTCTAAACCGGGTTGTAACACCCCCGTCCATGCGGGGAGGTTCGGAAACATGAGCTGACCATTTTGATGCTGACAGCGGTTTTCGTTTTGTGCATTCTTGGAGGGCAAAGAGGGCCAAAGATTGAGTTTCGTAGGGATGAAACTTAGTCTCTTAATAGATAAAGGATGAGGAGATGCCCATGAGAAACCATAGAAATTAATCAATAATGAAGTAGTCAAAAAATCCAATAGCAAGCAGAGAGGAATGTCAGGCAATTGGTCTATAGGTAATTACCTAGAGTATTAAACTTCGTCTCGCACCATTTGTGCTACAGACGTGCACGATACTTCAAATCGAGCAGCTCGTGTGCTATTACTTCTCAGAAGTGATTGGACTTTTTTTTTACCTGGTGGATGGGAAAACATTCCCACCGAAGCAAGGACCGAGACCAGGATATCGTAGAAACTTCAGGGTGGGATCCTTTGATTTGAGACAGTAAGTAACCACCTAGCAACCACCAAAAACACCCTGGCAACCACAGCAATGTGCTGAAAATCGCATGACAATGGCCTAAAATAATAATAAAAATACCCTAAAATAGCGATGGTGAGATGGCACTACTGACACACACACAAACACAAACAATTATAATCTGAGATAACAGTCTGAAAATGTATTACTTTCATTAAAAAAAATATTTTTTAAATATTTATTTTTTTAAATTTTTTAAATGTTTTATTAAATGCAATAAGGCTGCATTTATTTGCTAAAAAAAACAAATAAATAAAAAAAAGTAATATTTTGGAATATTATTACACCTTAAAAATCACAGTTTTCTATTTAAATATATTTTAAAATGTCATTTATTCCTGTTATGCAAAGCTGAATTTTCAGCATCATTACTCCAGTCTTCAGTGTCACATGATCCTTCAGAAATCATTCTAATTAATTCTAACATATCCATTGTTGAAAACAATTGTTCTGGAAATCCTGATTCCCCCCCCCCCTTTCTTTGATGAACAGAAAGTTCAACAGAACAGCATTCATCTGAAATAGATATCTTTTGTAACATTATAAATATCTACTGTCACTTTTGACCAATTTAATGCATTCTTAAATGCTGATAAACAATAAAAATACTATGCAAATGACTGATAATATTGCAAAGCATCAACCATCAGCTTAAGAGGGAAAAAACTGGCATTGAGTAACAGAGAAAAAACAAAACAAAATGAACAGATGTGGAACAATTACAATCAAATCAACTGCAATTATTGTTTTAATGAATAATCTTTTGTGTTCCAAACCTGTCAATCATACAGGTTTGGAACGACATGAGGGTGAATAAATTATAATAGAATTGTAATTTTTGGGTGAACTATCCCTTTAAATACTCCCCCAAAAATAAAGCAGAAGATAGAATGTTTACTCACTTAAAGACAAAATTGATTGTTTTAGTTATTTACACCAGTGCAGCCAAAAACTCAACAGTGCTTGATAGATTCCTTACTTTTATTGTTCCCAAATTGCGTCTATCCATTTACTAATCTAGCTATTGTCTTCTGTCCATTACAGATCTAATCGATCTTCCCGAATAGCCAGACACACACAAATAATTTCACAGGGAGAAAAAAAAAAGGACTAGGAGGAAAACGAGTTACTCCGGCCACGTGCGTTTAGCAATTAATCTCCTGGCAGCATTCGGTCACTGTAATTCTGAAATCAGTGGAGCACAGCAGACTCTCATAATGCCGCCTCCAATCTGAAGCCTTAACACGCCGCTTCCTTTACATCAGCATTTCAGTGTGCAGGGGCCCAAACGAGTCTTCACCCCCGTTCCACATCCAGAGAGCTGCATTCACACGTGTTCAGATTACTGATCTCAGCCTGCACGCGCTTTCATATCCCGCGCCGTTTCCCAGACATGCAGGAAATGTCAATGTTAGTACATGAAGAGCGCCAAATCCACTAAGCTCCTATAAAAGGGAAGTCTTAAACTGGCGGAGTACGGAGGAGCCGGGAGAGAAAATCCATCAGGCAGGAGAACCCGACAGACAAGGATCTCAAAATGAGGATGGCTTCAATTTACAGTATTAGATTATGTAATATGTGACGTAAATGACTGCCACTGTATACAACACGCCATCTTATTGAGAATCAGTAAGACTCTAGATGTTAATTATCATTAAATCTAATGCTTTGCTGCTTTAAAAGGTGACATTTGACATTATAAGCTACGGACGTTCAATACTGCCTCCTGCTGGTAATTTTGCCTGCTGAGTCAAGCATTTATCTCCAACAGCATGAACAAGACCTTTCGAAAATTGACCTGAATGTATAATGTGGCACACAATTAAAAAGGCCCAAAAAAGCATTTGGTCATACCTGCATAAGCTACTCAAAATGTTTGAATGTCATTGCATTAGATAATAAAGTGGTATCTGCACAACAAGTGATATTAGATCTTTTCTAAGAAATAAAACTTCACATCAAGACATTTTCGCTATGCAAAACAAAATTTAACACAGGATTTATGGGCATATTCCACTAATGTTTCATAATAACAAAATGTCCTTTAAAAATATGCAATATCAGTTGTTTTTATACTTTTAGAACTTAAAAAAAAAAAAAAGATTTTTGCCACTTTGCTTATTTATGATGTTCTCAAACTTTTTTGACCAATACATTTTCATGGCATTGCTAGTTGATGGTAAAGCCTGGCTAACGGTTTTTAAAAATAGTTTTTATTCATACAGATTCACTAATGAAACATTCAGAATGATTAATGAACCAGTTGAAAAAGAATGATTCACTTACAAATCAGGTTTTCACTTGCACACAAAAGTAATATCTATGAAATTAAATCTTGAAATGTTGAAATGAAATGAAATGAATTGTAAAGCAGATCTAAAGCAGAATATATGTGTGTGTGTGATTTCCATGCCTTTCCAAGATTGTACTAATTTTCCCATGTTTTTAAAAATTCACAAAATACAACTTGTCCACAATTTTTCCATGTTTTTATGACTTAGGGAACTCTATTTTGTTATGTAATGCAATGACAAATATACTTTAAGTGCATCATTTTAAGTTTCAACATTTTTTGCAGGCACTGAACACCAGTTCAAAAGTTTTGGGTTTGGTTAAGATTTTTAGTTTTTAACCAAAAATACATTAAAGTTAATAAAAAAAACATGAATATTGTGAAATATTATTATGGTTTAAAATAACAGGTTTATTTGTTAATACATTTTAGAATGTAATTTATTCTTCAGTGTCACATGATCCTTCAGAATTCATTCTATTATGCTGATTTGCTGCTCAAGAATTTCTTGATATCAATGTTGAAAACAGTTGTGCTGCTTAATATTTTTTAAACGGTGACAGTTTTTTTTAGGGTTCTTCAACGAATAGAAAGTTCAAAAAGAGCAGCAGTCATTTGAAATAAAAATCTTTTGTAACACTATAAATGTCTTTACTGTCACTTTTCATCAGTGTAATGTTTAAAATGATTGATTTCTTAAAAAAAAAAAAAAAAACTGACCCCAAACTTTTGAATGGTAGTTTATATCATATATAATCCACACTTAATTTAACTGAACAACTTGCATTCTGTTAAAATGAAACTATTATGATGTTATCCATCTATCAAGTAATTCCTAAGAAACAAAAGGACACTCTAACGGCCCTGCGCTGGCACGTTCCTTTCAAGCAGAAAAAATAATTAGCATTTGAAAGGGGAAAGGTGACTTTTCCAGTCCCTGAGGTAACTATGTGAAGAGCCATTCTGTGGGAATGAACCGAGAGCTAATGAATCTGCCTTCAGTGAGAATACGCCTTATCAAAGACATTTGAGGCGAAAGTGAGATTGCTGTCCTTTAATGAGAATGTAGAAACAGAGGGCCGGATTTGGGACACTCGTGCTCGCTTTGATGTCGACACTGAATAGCACAGCCATTCTAAATGGAAATCAAACATGTTTTGGCTCAATTCAGTCACAAGTTAAGCACTTAAAAGTCAAAATTCTGTCACTGTTTACTCACCATCAGGTCCATATGCTGATGAAAAGTGCGATTTGTGAAGGGAAGATTTTTAGTCAATAATGACTTAACCCTCAGGTAGTGTTCTGGTCATTTTGACCTGGAGATGTTTTTTGTTTTTTTTCCTCAAAAATGCTAGTTAATGTTGTCACATTGAATAAAACTTACTGACCTTGCTCACACAGGGTATAACTACCCAAAAAATTTGATAATTTTTGTACTTTGGGGATTTTATACCTGCGTTGTTCCCGATCACCCTACAAAAAAACATTGTTACATTATCACCAAATCTTGGATTCAATCTTTTTTGTCAACTTGTGTTTTTCAATTAGCACAGGATTTCTTTTCACTGCTCTGAGCTTATACACCTCAGTTTTTGAGTGAATATTTACAAAAATAGCCACAAATAAAGCTTTTTCACTTAAAAACAGAGGTGCATAAACTCAGATCAATGAAGCCCAATCAATTAAAAAAAAACTGTTAATTGAAAGAAAACAAGTTGACAGAAAGATTGAAGGTTTGGTGATAGTATAGCATAAATGGAGATTTACAAGCAATTTTTCAATTTTAGGCCGGTCATTTTCAAAAAAGGACACCAAATTAGGTATGTTTTTTTTCCCCCAGCACAGCAGAAGAACAAAATGTCAGTCTGTTGCTCATATAAAGTGTTCATATTGTATTATATTTTATGGTACTTTTCATCTTTTTTGGTTACTGTATGGAAATAAACAGCATTAAAAATAAAGACTCAAAAAGGGTTTTTTGCAGGGATGCCATAGAAGAACCATTTTTGGTTCCTCAAGGAACCTTTCAGTGAACCATGTTTTTTATTAATCTAAAGAATCTTCTTCCACTATGAAGAACCTTTTGTGGAATACAAAGATTCCATGGATGTAAAAGGTTCTTCCTGAAACCAAAGGTGCCAATAAAGGAGCTTTATTTTTTAGAGTGTGGAGGTGAATAAACAGTGAGAGGATTTATTTTTGGCCAAACTCTACCTTTAACTTGCTAGGTAAATCTCTGTGGTTCTTTGACAGGCTTCGCTGATAGCTACAGGGATGATGATGCAGAACTGAGACAGCGAGTCTCTTGGGCTGGATGTGGAGAGCTTGTTAAAAGGAAACGGAGGCAGGTGTTAATGTATTCGCTCTACTGTACCTTACTGTCTACAGGAGAGTAAACAGCCCACATAGTCATTCAGCACAACCAGCAAGGTTTCAAGGGCCATCAAAACATAACCGTACGCCCTCAAGCATTATGAGCGGGGTGGGAAAGTTCAGGCCGAAAGCAAATAATGCGTCATAAATAACACAACATGGCGAGTAAGAGTCTCTTTGACATAAAATGGTGGTAATTATGAACTTCAGATTTAAGTAATTCCAGGGTTTCAATAGAAGAGCATAAATCTACATTCATAAATCCATAATCTCTGATGTCCGACGTCAGTCTTTCAAACACGAACGGCCGTCTGAATATGCAAATGTACATTTAAAGCCCACTTAGCTGAAAAAAATAACTCGCTTTTTTCAGTTCTGACTCACAGATCCCGAAGGACGTTTTAGACTGATGATCGTGTCATGTGGTGAATAATTTCTGACCTTTTAACTCTTTAAAAATAGAGAGAAAAGTCTTTATTTGCATGTCTGTCCGGGGAGAGAACTCATAATGAGTTGCATGTAGCTGAAAAGATATGGCGTGTGCGCTGCTCTTGTCCATACAAAAACGGTTCATAGTGATGCTTTCAAGCTACAAAAACGACCAAATTGCAGAGTAAAAGAACTATGAAAGTGCATATGACTCAGGTGCTATATTACCGTTAGGTCTCCCAAAGCCACACAATAGCTTTGTGCGAGGAACAGTCGAAAACTGCAGTTGTTATTCACCAATAATCTTTCTTACCGCAAAAGTTCATCAGATTTGGATTCAAAAATAGCACCACAAGCAATGCATTAGATCTATTATCATTTAAAATGATTAAATAATATAATAAAACATCATATTTATCATACATGAATGTGCCAGATCAACACAGCTGCTTTCAACATTAATGACAAGTTTCTTGAGCAGCAAATCAGCATATTAGAATGATTTCTGAAAGATCATGTGACACTGAAGACTGGAGTGATGATGCTTAAAATGCAACTTTGACTCGCAGAAATAAATTACATTTCAAAATATATTAAAGGGGTCATATGATGCTTTTTTAAAGATCATTATTTTGTGTATTTGGTGTAACAGAATATGCTGACATGCTTTAATGTTCAAAAAACACATTATTTTTCAAATCCTGTACGTTATTGTAGGTCCTCTATGCCCCGCCTCTCTCAAACGCTTCGTTTTCTACAAAGTCCCTCCTTCCGACAAGCGCAGTCTGCTCTGATTGGCCAGCTGACCCAGTGCATTTTGATTGGCCGAACACCGCAAACACTCGCGACCCCTTTAAAATAGAAAAGAGTTATTTTAAATTGTAATAATATTTCACAATATTACTATTTTTATTGTATTTTTGTATCAAACATGCAGCTTTATTAAGATATTTCTTTTAAAACAAAGTATTACCAACCCAAAACGGTTGAACGGTTATTATCAATTATAATAAATTAAATACGTACATTCCCATTTTACGCTTCAATTAAAATTTTAAAAAGACTTTGTGTGAACTATGCCTTTAAACCATCACTTTCACCGTCCCCCTAACATGAAATGATGACCTCTGCAGTTCTTTTCACACTCCTCGATGTTTTATTGTTGAATAACAGAGACATTCAGTGTGAGAGTTGCTGATTTATAGCTGCTCTGCATGAACCGAGCACCAATTTTTACACTAATCATTTATCAAGGATTGCATGCCTACATTTACAGTTACATTTGATCTCAGCAGACATTTTTTATACCAGAGCAACTTAAAAGAAACATCTCTCATAAGTGGCAATTGCTTGAGTAGCTAGATAGGAATGTAACTCAAGAACTGGGGTCAGACTTTATGAATCAAGGAGAACACAGTGAAAAGGATACAATTACATAATAACTGGAAGTACATCATTCATATTGGTGAAGTCAAAAAGGTTATCAGATCAGTGGAAGTAAGTTCAATCAATGCAGTCAATGCATAAAATCAGTACGCTGTAACAAGCAGGAAGTTGTAGTAAATATTATATTATATGAAATATACAAAAAAATCCTGTAGTGTGTGTAATTGTTATTTTTTTCAAATAATAAACTTCAAATAAACATAACTAATTGTATATAATATCAGGAGAATATGTAACCGAAACAAATTTTAGTCTGCAAATTTAGTCTACACTGTTAAAAAAAAGAAAAAAACATTTTGAAAATAAAAAAATAATTCACACACAACAGCCTTTATAAATGTACATAAAATATTACATTTCATTAAATTAAAATATTAAATTAAATATAAAATAAATATTACTGTAATAAAATAAAATAAATGTTTGACTTCCTGCTGGTTACATATTGATTTTAACTTGTACAATTCTTTATTCTAAGGAAGAACTACCAATAAATTTGCTCTGTGTTAAATGAATAAACTTATTTTTATTGATCTGATGGCCTTAGTTAACATATCAAACAAACCAAAAAAGGCGGTACACAAATGCTTGAACTACAGTGAAAATTAAAAAGTACATTGCCTTGAAACACCCCTTTAACCACTTCTGAAGTTTTTTCTTTGAATAAATGCATAAAAGTCTGAAGACAAGACAAGGGAGCTGAAAACATTATTCTGCTCTGCATACTTCTGCTTCATTTACAAACTCATTTTGTTCTCATGAACATAATATCATGAACAACACTGTTTTTTGCTGTTAATCTTTGAGGAAACTGTAAGCATTACATATACTGTAAACCGAGAGATGAAATTAAACTTGTAGGGGGTACAAATGTGGCAAAATAACTTATTTTTCAGCTGTGATGAGTCATCCACATGAAACTGCTTCTTATCACCAACTCTCAGAAGGCACATAATCAAGCGGCTCCTTTGAGCTTGAGACAAAAGCTTTCTGTGATTCAAAAGAACATTCTGGAATAAAATCTCGTGAAACAGGAAAACATGTTTGTGAAAAGGGGAAAAACACCACATTTTGTTGGTTCGCGACCAGACAGGAAAACTGACTGAAAATTCAATTGGAAAGAAAAAAACTACTTGTTTGGTGCTTAGTAATTTTATGAATTTAAAGGTTAAAAAATATCAATATAACATCAGTGTAGGTGATCCATGTTTTAATGAGGGGAGTATTGGGAATGACTTTTTAAAGGAAGAAAACCCAATGATCTTCCCCAGATATGTTTAACTTTCTTTACAATATCTCACACAAACTGCACCACAACATATTGACATTTCTCATTTCCATCCAAACAGCTTGCAAGTTTGAACAGTATTCAGCAATTGCCAACATTTCAAAACAAACCTTCCTTTGCTATTTTAGAAGACAAGCCAAGACAGTCTGAATTAAGGATGTCAACCGTCCCGTATAAGACAGAATGGTTCTGTATTTAAGCCGGGGACCGAATTTCATTCAGAATTACATCCATATGGAACACGGTTTGCATTTCAACATCTTACACCCAAACAGCTGAGGACATGTCAGTATTTATTGCATCGTAATCAGTTTCTAATACAAGTGTCAATGTTAAAACTACACATTCGAATGGAAAACGACTTGTGAAAGATGGATGTTGAGCGAGAGTCCTGACACTGGCTGACACTACTCTTGACAGCGGGAAGAGGATCAAGAAAGATCAAGGAAGAGTAGCTCTAGCCAACTTTTATCTGTTGGATTTTTGCACTTTTGGATGTACTGTTCATCAGAATATTTTTCTGTAAATGGAAGCAAAGACAGTCCAATTTTAGAGCATTTTACAAGTGCATGTTTCCCTGAATTTGCTGCCAAGATGAAATTAAAGGGATAGTTCATCCAAAAATGAAAATTGTACTTAAACATGACATTTCAAATCTCTATAACTTCCTTTTTTCTGCTGAACACAAAATAAGATGCAAGGATGCATTCAATTGTTCTTAAGTGATGATAAAAACATTTATAATGTTATGAAAAATTCAAATAAATGCTTTTCATTTTAAATTTCTATTCATCAAATAATCCTGAAAAAAATGTTTCCAGAAAAATATGAAGCAGCACAACTGTTTTCGACATGGATAAAAATAATACATGTTTCTCGAGCAGCAAATCGGCATATTAGAATGATTTCTGAAGGATCATGTGACACTGAGGACTGAAGAAATAATCCTGAAAATTCAGCTTTGGCATCACAGAAATAAATTACATATTAACTGTTTGCTATCTGAATACATTTGGTTTAAAATTGTAATAAAGTGTCATAATATTAACATTTTACTGTATTTTTAATAAAATAAATGCAGCCTTGGTGAGCATAGGAGACTTCTTTCAAAAGCATTAAAAAAGTCTTACCGACCCCAAACAGTTAAATGGTTTTGAAAAAGACTGTCTTTCATTGTAGCTTTGGCTTTCATTTCATTTGTCTTTAACAAAGAAAAAATGCATGCACATTTGGAATGACAATTTTTGGGTGCACTATCCCTTTAAAAGGTCTGAAATGTGCTTAAAAGTTGGATTTGTTCATCTTGAAATATATTACAACAAATGCTTGCTCAAACCGTACAGCACGATGCTAGCAACATCAAAATTGCGGGTTTGATAGCCAGGGAATGCATGAATTGATAAAATGTACTTTAAATGCAATGCAAGTCCTTTTGCATAAATGCCAAATGCATAAATATAAAAATATAAATAAATGTAAACATTAGTGCCTGGTTTCTTAAGCCTATAGTCTCAGACTAAAATGCACGTTTAAGCTGTTTTAACTGAAAGCACCATGCACTGACATATCTTAAAATATGTCAAAGCCTTTGACTTGTGTTTTTTTCTTCTCTAAACCACATTTAAAAAACTGAAGCCTAAACTGAGGCCTAATCCTGGCTTAATCGAAGCCCTGTCTGTGAAACCAGGCCAAAAAGCATTTAGCACTTAATTCAGCCTTTTTACTGAATATCATCTTTTTTATACACATTTGCCACCTGCCACTGATAGACTACTTAACCCTCATGTAGTGTTCTGATCATTTTTCCCGAAAAAGCTGGTTAATGTTGTCATATTATACTAAACCCTATTGACTTTACTCACACAGTACATAACAACTTCACAAAAAAGTGTTTTTGTGGGGGTTTTCTACCTTGCTACACTTACACCTACAATAAACACCTACATAAATTTCTTGTTATGCTGTATTATTACCATATATTGGATTCTATCTTTTTTTTTTCTTTCAAATTGATTAGGCCTACTTGCTCTGAGCTTATGCATCTAAGGTTTTGAGTGGAAAAAAAACATCATTTGTGAATAATTTTGGCAGTATTCCCTCAAAAACTGAGGTGCATAAGCTCAGATCAATGCCTGCAATCATTCAGCTCCAAAAAACAAAGACAAAACCTACGCTATCTAAACCAGATTAAATCCAAGACTTGGTGATAATATAGCATAACTAGAGATTTGCAAGCAATTGTTAGAAGGCTGGTCATTTTTGAACAGGAACATCAAATGAGGTAAAGGATTTAATACCAAGCTAAATCTAAAATGGCATGTGTGTATATAGAGTGTACCTTATTTTCCTAAAAAATAAATGGAGTGTCCCTTATTTTGCTCTGCTGAAGTTGGCAGCCGTAGCCAGCATCGGATGTTCACTTTCAGAGACATGCAACGGTTAAGTGAGCACCGGCGCTGAGCTGATTGAAATATTGTTGCATTCTGAGCTCTTTGTACACAGTGTTGGCATGAGAGATAAATGGACTTCATAGACCAATGGCCATCAGTCCTTCAGCGTTTAGAGGCATCCATCAAGACCTCCTTAGCCGCAGCAGGGTTACGGAGATTATATTTAGTGCCACGGTCTGCTCTGAGAAATATTTCCCCAACACATCAGGTAATGAGCTCTGCAGATCAAAGCTGCCGAAGCGCACATGTGAACTGATGGGCGTATGTGCTAAAATTCCAGCTTTCCTGTGCTGTCGGTGGTTATTTTTAGCTGGCTGTAACGTTAGTGACTGGAGCAGAGGTAATT